TCTCATCCGAAGCACACTATTAACGCTATTCCGTTCTCGCAATTTCTTTGTCTTCGTYGTTTGTGTAGTGATGATCTTGATGTTTTCTGTTTATTTAACACCAAGAGATCATTCACCTATCATAGCAAAATAAGCTTACTTACCCTTAAATTGATAGCCAAAATCATTGATCGACAGCCTTGGTTTGCTTGTTCCTAATAGTGCTGTCCCAAGAAAAAAGACTATATATTTATTAACTCATCTTGAGCATGCCCATTAAGATTTAAGTGACAAGAAGCTAGTTTGACTTGGTTTTTGAATACCGTTTGAATAAATCATGTAGTAGGCATTACAGCTCAAATATCTAAGATATTTCTAAGGAAACGTTCGTGGTACAGCAATGAAAATCTCATAGAACAAAGTTTGCGCAATATAATACTTACAGTTACCCATAGCCATTCTTTCCCTCTCTTTCGGACAAAAACGCAAGCGACTTCTGTAAAAATCGGCTGTACACGAGTCTTTGTACTCGTTGGGTTCCAACTGAGAAACCACAACTACTGGAAAATTTGCGATCAAAAATTCAAATTAATATTTCATGGACGATTAAAAAACTTTACACTACTTGAATATTACATACTAGACCTTGTACAATGAAATGATGATGTAAAGTMTTACCTTTACGACTAAAAGAAGCAGGAATGTTAGACAAAACGAGGAAGAGAAAACCKTAGAAACAACCATGCAACTGTGAAGTAGTTTCGGGGAATTTCCCTGGTTTGTTTGGTTTCACATTCGATTCAGCATTTTGYCAAGGCGTTCCTCTCATTTGAMGAGTGAAAATGGAATGTAATYTAACACAGGCAACCCATAGATATTTGTTTTACTGATTTCATAGCCGTACTTCAACGTAATGTGTTTGATTGAATTAACTGAAACACAATGGGACCGGAAGTTATTTCGAGTTTAAGAGAGAGGTAAGGGATACCGTCACAGGTTTCGTAATCTCATCTGCTTGTAATTTGTTTATATTTTTCATTTTTTTAAACTATGATTTGATGTGAGGTAAATGCTAAATAAAATAAAATAAAATAAAACAAAATAAAAATAATGTAACGGCATGTCGTAGCATGTCCTTGTCGGCCAGGGCGTGCTGTCTATATGGTATATGTTTCACACTCATTAAAAAATCT